TCCTTGGCTTTCATTGCTCATGTCATGGAGACAATATAAGCAGTAGTTTTCAGATCACAGTCTTCGCTTTACTGGTGTTTTTGGGAAAACTTCAGATCTGTCATGCACCCATAACACCAAAATGGTCAGATATTAACTGCACTGCCTTCTGTCATAATTACTCATATGCAGCAGCACAAGATGTTAATGATGATTTTAAAATCTCTTAAGAACTGTTTTTCCTGTCATGAAATAACCTGGAGAAATTATGGAGATGTACCAGTTTCTACAAAGCAGTTAAGGTTAATATTGTAGCTCTAAAATAAATTTGCCCATCTAGTGTTCTGGATAACGTAAATGTTTTTGCAGTTTGGGTATTTTTTTTCTCTTTTTGTTTAAATGGCAGTGCAGTGTTCCTCTAAGCACATTTGACTTTATTTTGGGGAAAAAATGGGTAATTACTGCCTGTGATCCAAAGGACAGTGGGTCTATGTGTTTCTAAGAAAGAAAAAGCTTAACATGTTGTCCCAAGTCAAGAAAACAGAAAAAAAGAAAGACTTGAGCCATGTGAAAGTGAAATCTAAATACCTTTTGAATACCTTTGCTGCATTTTTAAGCCATGTTCACATAAACTGTGTTGTGAAAGTTACACATTCTTTTTGTGTTGTATGATTTGGCCAGAAGCCCGGTGGATTCCAGTACTTGGGAATTGCCTCGCAGGAGGATGTCGTCAGTCATTCTGCGACTTCCTGGTTGTGGGAAATAGTCATTTCTAAAAAAAAAAAATGACCTAGCATAGAGCCCTGAGACTGGCCTCAAATTCACTTCAAAGAGTAGAACAAAAATAGATTCTATTTCTAATCTATCAGCAGGGTATACGTGTGTGTGTGTTTGTCTTGCAGCGTGGAAGGCAATAACATTGGAATGCCTGGATGTGATGTAGTGGAAGGTTTTAAGACTCCGATTCTTTTACTCAATTCTTGTAAGAATGGAAGGAGCAGTCCCATTAACCTTAAAATTGCACAATCCACTTAAAATTTTCTGCTCACACCTACTGATTTTCTTTTTCCATAAAGAAATATTTCTTCATTCTCATAACATTTCCTTTGAATCTTTCCTCTTAACTGAAGCAAGTTACTAGTGATGTTAGGAGGCAACTTCACAACACAGAATTCAAACCCAAGCTAAAGTACACGCAAGTTGTAATCAAAGGTCACATCTATGCCACTCCGTACAAGACTGTTCTCCAAACATACTGAAGGATCCAGAAACAAGAGAATCAGTGTCAAAGCACTGCATCTGTGTCAAAAAAATGCTTAAAATACAGTAGTTGATGAACTGAAATATTAACTGAGTTCTTAATAGCTAAAGCTAAATATATATATATATATATAGTAGGAGAATATTTGAGGAAGTGTAAGACATGGAGGAGAGAAAGTTCCAGAGAAGCTAAAAATGATTAAATATTTTAACTCTTAAGAGTGGAAGAGGTGTAGGGTGGGCATGAATCTCCCTCCTCCATAACTGAAGTTTCTTGAAAAACTTAAACATTGTGAAGCAATTTTAGACTTCCTTACAAAAATGGAAGAGTGTGAGAGCTGTAGATTAAGAAAACCCTAATGATGACTACCTTTTTTTTTTCATGTGAAATTATAATTTAGTTTTAAATAGTATCAGAATATTTTATATACATATATAGATATAGATATAGCTGATCACTGTGAATAAGATCCAAAAAGGGATTGTAAGCAAAACTTGATTTAGAAACAAATACTACATAAACTGAAAAACAGTTTTTAGATTGCCAGGCTTAGTTGTTTAGGTTTTTTTTGCCCCTTAACTGTTATTTTTTGCCTATGCATATTTTTCCGATATCAGTTTAACACACTGTGCAATTCAGGAACATTAAAGTTGCAAATATTATCAGTAACATTCTCAGTAATAGAGACTGGGGAATCATAAAAAAAATAAGCTAGGAAAATATAATCATATAGAAAGTAGACATAGTAAAAATATAAGAGCATGATAAAATGTAAATTATGGATTAAAAAATAAAACTAAGTTTGAAATAATGTTTGTACTTAGTTATATGCATTACTTAGGAGCTTTAGCCATTTACTCTCCTCTCATTTTATTCGTCTGCTCTCTTCCCCTGCAGAGATAGTTTCATAACTGGATTCACTCTGTATTTTCTGTCAGGGAATCTATACTGTTGCTTTCTGGATGCAGTGGTGCTTTTTCAGGCAATAATATCACAAGAGAGGAAGAGAACAAGTTAGGTCTGATTTTTTTTTTCTGTCAGAATCCTTTTTTATGTTGTCTGTAGATATTTGCATAATAAAATATTTATAACACACCCACACTGGACAGTAATGTAATTCAATCTCTAAAGTTACAATAGTTATTGTGAAGAAAAACAATTTCTGGATTATATTTTCAAATAGAGATAAAATTAAAAATGAAATTTAATATCGTCTTCCTGATTTTATACAAAAAGTGGTAAACGTTCTTGTTCTTCAATACTTTCATTTTTAAGGAAGTTTTCACAGTGTCTCTAAGCCTTCTATACTCTGCTTGTGATGAGAAGGAATCAGCCCTTATGCTGTTAACAGTAATGGCCATGACCATCCCCACTGTCCTACAACATGGGAACAATGTCCTAAGGGAAGAGAGGACAATCTACTATTGTAAAAGAAATTTCCTAGCACAGGCTTTTGGCAAAGTCTCCCATTACTTCTGCATCTAATTGACATGAGCGGTTTTGATGCACAGCAGAGTCTCCCAGCGCTTGCTTTAGTGCTCCGAAGATGCATAATGCACCAAAGCCACCTGGCAGGTGGTGTCGTTACTCAAGCAGTTAGCTGCTAATAACTAAATGTCCATGCTATGATTCTCCAGTTTTTCCAAGCCCCCATCCCTGCATCCGTTACTTTAGGTGAATATATGTTTGAGCTGCTTCTATCTGGAAAGCTGGGCAGGCATTTTGTGGAAGCTAAGATAATATAATCAAATTGTTTCACATTCTGTGAACACATAGCTACAAGCCTTAAGCCAGTTCTTAATATTTGTGCAGTGATCTGAATTTGAGTTGCAGGGCAACTTTAATGATGGCATTTTTGATCCCTTTAAGTATTTGATTTTTAAAAAATAGTGTAGTGTTTGGCTCTTTTAAAAGCAAATAGGAAAAAAGAAAACCAGCTGTCTCTTCACAGGCTTAGTTAGCATTATATTAAAATCTGCTAAAATTGAGATGAAATTATACTAGTAAAAATACTGCCTTATTTGTGGATCAGCAATGAAGGGGTGGGATATAATGAGTTGTTAATGAAGCAGTGTGTGAATGAGGAGTCTTTGCTGCTTTGTGGTTCTGTATTTTTATTTTTTCTACTAGTTTTCCACAGATAGCAGACAGGTGGAGTTTCATATACCTTTACTGTGACTGAAGTGGGGAGATTTTCCACCTGCGGAGAGATAGAGGCTTTCCTTTGCTTCTGCATCTGATGCCATTTGAGGCTGAGACATGTCACCTAAAGTCTAGTTAGCCGTTTTGGATGTCCTGAAGTGTCTGAGACATCTACATGAGGCAGAAAGATCTGGTAAAAGACTTGTAGGAGTCCCTTGGCCTCCTTCAGACACAGATAGGATAACTTAATGCACTTAACATGCCACTACACAGCTACGTTTGGGCAGTTGATTCTTTTCCTCTTAGTCTCCCCGAGCGGCTTTGGGCCATTCCAAACTGCTTCCAGTTAGGCTTGCTTGCCTCAGTTACTGGATTTGGAGAGGAACAAAATCAAAACCTCTTAACCGTGGATCTGACCTGGTGATTTTCTAACCCATAAGCTAGTGTCAAGAGTGCTGATACTCCCATCGTCCTTAATTGAGATTTCTACTGAGATATGGATGAAGAGTATGTTCATTATTTGGGTATTTTAGCAGTTTACTTCTCATAAGTCCCATCAGTCATGAGTACAAGAGTGTGTTTTTTTCAAAGACATGTGACTCAGCCAAGTCTCCAAATTTCTGTGGGAGCAGCAAGAAGAATCATGCTGGTTAGTCAGCAGTTTTCACAAGTAGTGTTGGAGAACATTTCCTAGCCCTGTGCAAAGCAATTTTACTGCTCAGGTGAGGAAACATTGGGAATTTCTACCTGACTTCTTAGGTCTGGAAAAAGGAAATGTAAAACAGAAATTCTGTAACTGTAACTCCACCCATTTTTTCTTATAGTCTAAAGTCTTAGACTAGAAAAATTATTTCTGAATTTTAATCTAGGTGATATATCTTGATTTCTTCTGAGTAATCAAAAGAAAATGTTTATTAGGCTTACATAAAATTTGTAAGGAACTATCCCCAAAGAGTTACCTTTCCTTGCTGGAGGGATCTGCCTCCTTTATCTTTTTTTTTAACTCAACTGTCAAAAATCAGTTTGTGGCATAGAGGTGATAGGTTGTCTGGCAGAAATTAACAGCTGTTAATTATAGATTGGGAATTTTCTCTTCACCCCATCCATGTATGATATAAAATGCTATTATCATTTAATATCTATTAAATGGTTTAATAAGCTTCAAAGTTGACTTTGGAAATTAGTATTAAAATAATCTGAAAGTCTTGGGTTTTTTTACTAGCTACTATTTCTGTTTTCACTCAAAATGGGAAAAAGAAGAGGAACGAACTCAAGGATACTTGAATTTTGCCTTGTTATGTGTTCAAATGTAGAGAATGTAGCAGTAAAGTGATGAAGAAACTAATAACATTCTACTTTGTTGCACCTCATATACTCATTAAGCAGCTGTACAAGTTGGAGAAATATTTTTGTTTTGTTTTTGTTTTTACCCAGACAAGGAAAATAAAGATTGCTTGAATAATCAGGTCATTATCCTTTGGTAGAAAAAACATCGATAAATTAAGAAGTTCAAGCTTGATTCAAACTCCTTAAGCAGTTTTCTGGGTTTGGGTCAGTTCCAGAAATACAACTGTTTAAAATCCTTGGTTTTTGATTATGTTATGTTTTATCTTCTTAGGAATGGCAAAATTCTATTCAGAAGAATGCAGGACTTGCATTTATTGAGCTCATCAATGAAGGAAGGTAATTAATTTTAAAGCTTTTGAACAAGTAGTCATTTTGCATTTTATTCCATTGGGTGATAATACTTTCTCACCATCTGTTCAAAAAGACTGTGAAGAGGCCATTTTAATTAAGAAGTTTATTGTTTTGATATTTTGTGTAACAAATATTTAACTTGGAAGTGTATGCATTCTTAAATTTGTGTTTATTGAGAAAAGAAAATAAAGCCCCCTGCTACCCTGTGTATGGGTCTGGGTTTATTTGAGAGTTGAAGTACCATGTTACTGAGCAGCAAGGTTGTTTCACCCAGACAGTCTAGGGAGCTCAATCTGTAAATCCATCTGCTGCTCCATCTGTTTTAGGAGCACAGCATTCATTGTTCAGATGCCCTTCATTATACTATCAGTTCATAAGGAATTGCATTATCTAGAATTTCTGGTCCAATTTAAGTCTTGTGTAACACACAGAACATCAGATTTATAAGAGCAGCCTTGCTTTTGCAAATTGTTAAGATGCTTTATTAACAATCCTCAGGTAATTTCACTGCTGTTTCTGTTTACATCTTCTGCTCTTTGCAGTGTTTGTCAGTACTTTCAGCCAGACAGTAGCAAGGCACTCTTTGGCCTTGCTGGTCATGAAATGCCAAAGACAAATGCAGCCCGTTGAGTCAGGTGTGTCACTTTTAGAGTCCAGGAAATTAGATCCTTATAAAACTAGATTTCTTGATACCTGCAGTTGAATAAAAACAGTCATAGTAATGTGCCCATTGAAGAGACTTTAGCATTTGTGAGGTTTTTGTTTGTTTGTTTGTTTGTTTCTGATAGTATATTGTTACCAATATTGAAATACCTTGATTGTTGAAATGGTCTCTCTTTTTACAGTAGGATTTTTTTTTGTCATGCTATTATTTCAATTGTCATTCATATGAAAAGAAGACTGGAAGATATTGGAGAATAGGAATATAGGAACACTGCTATCTGGAGAATAGGAATGTGTACCTTGATATCAGATTTTTGGTTGGTACAAATTCCCTTAGATTCATTGCAAGCACTGAAAGTACATTCTGGTATATACCATTTGGAAGTGTAGCCCTTTAAAATGGAAGTCTTTTCTTGCTACAAAGTAATGTATGGGTTTACACAATAATAGGGCTTATCTAGGTAGGTCATCTACTGTCCGCTATTTCACAATAAATAATAGAGTAATTACTCACAGTAATAGAGTGAGTAATTATAGGAAGCTTACGTTCCTGGATGGTAACATGGAAACCTGTTCTACACTTTTTAATTTTATCAACTTTTGTTTTTTTGGAGATTTTTTTTTTATAAGCTGGTTTTGTTTACAGTAGCATTGGATAGAAAGAACAGATATTACTGCATACTCACTGTTAAGATATTTGTTCTGAACAAAGCCCATGTCAGCACTTTTTATAGCTTTTTAGTTTATTAAGATACCAGTAGACCAACTCTTCCCTCTTTTGATTTACTTTTCAAAATATAGTAATAATTAATAGCTGCTGCTTAAATACAGTCAAATGAACGTCTAATCAAACTGCCCTTAGACACGTGTTCCTCCATATACTTTTGTCATAAACATGTCTTAGAATAAGTGTGTTCACATTACCAAAATGTTTGTTATACTTCATAATCAGCCTATCCGTTTTTAATTTATCCTTTTGGGGATAAAGATAACAATCCTTTAAGTGGAAATTGTTATAAATATTTATTCTACTTAATAGCTAAACTTGTGAATGCAATTCATCAATCATAGCTTGAGAACGCAATTGTGCAGTTGTCAACAATTAACAGGACATAAACAGTTGATGAATGTGCAGCTGAATTAAAGTGCTCCCTAGGATAACCTGAAATTATAAACTGGATCATTTAAAGGAATCTAACAAAGGATCTTTATAATTAAAACAAAGCAGGGTTAATGGGATATAAAATTGCATATAATCACTATGCAATAATGATTGAATTTTAAATTATTAAAAGCAGAATGAAGGCTAAGAATATTTTGAAGGATTTTCTGGATAAGATTTTGAGAAACATAGGTAATAAATCAACAATTTTAAGCAAGCTTTTTAGTTAGGTGGGAAAAGGATTAGATGTTGTGTAGAGAATCATAATTTTTAGTATTTTCAGTTACACATTTATCTGTTCTAATATAGGGATATTATTAGGAGATTTGCTGAGTTTTTTTCTACATTAAAGCATTTGAATTCCTTTCTGATCCTTGACTGTATTAGAAATATTCTGAAACAAAATATTTCCGTTCAGTTGTATTTTAAAACATACACTGTATTTGTTCCCGTCCCTTTAGTAAGTTTTGGCTTAGTTATAAATGGATCAATTTACTGGGTTTCTGTTTATACTCATTTTAGATAATGTTTTGTGAGGAAGATCTGAATGACTTGTAATTGTAAAATTGAGGGCACAAATCATAGAATCACTATAGTTGGAAAGGACCTTCAAGATCTAGTCCAACCATAAACCCACCACCACCATTGCTACTAAACCGTGTCCCTAAGTGCCTCATAGACCCTTACACTCTGGCAGAGTTTTCTAAATAGAGAAATTTGGAGACAGGGGAGAGATTGAATGCTTTAATTTAATCCTGAGTTTGTTCTTAACTGTCTTTGAATTTAAAAAGTTACCTCTGCATATGTTTTCTCATCTATAAAATAAAGAAACTAGTTATTGTATAAGAGAGTTGTGATAAAAATGGTTTACAGCATGAAGATATATTACACGATTACTAAATATTATGAAAAAATAACAGTCTTACAAGAATCCCTGGCTATAGATCAAAATTAATATTTTAAATGAAAATATGTGCAAAGATACTTAATTCGGGGGTGGAGAATAACATTGTCAATAAATCTGAAGGGTTTACAGAGACATTCTGCTTATGATCTTGAACTTTATGCTTCTTTTAATCAGTCTCATGTTATGAGTATCTGTTACTGAGATTATCACACATGTCAAGAGCTCCATTGACATCAGGTTATTAAGGATTTCAGATATATGTTTTGATGTAAATGGAAGTAGGTTTCTTAAGAGCTAGATGTATCTGCAATGTTGACTGTAAAAGGGCACATCAAAAGAGTTCTTTAGCAATGATGTGGGAGAGAGACTATGACCTGCAGTTAACTGAGGTAGTGATGGGTGAGGTTAAAAGCAAAGGGTGCAGAGTGAGGAGAACAAGAGAAAGAAAACAGGAATACCCGCCTCAGGTGAATATGTGATCACTGAACATCATTAGAGTAAATAACATTTGGTGGGATATCCTGCATGGCTGAGCGCTGTGATGAACAGATACAAATTCTTCAGGAAAAAAAAAATAAAGGCAGGGAAGCAAGAAGGAAGCTTTGCCATCTGTGCAGAGGGTGGGCGTAGCTTCTGAAGCGCTTCAGCAGGGCCCTTGCAGTCCGGCACACAGTGTGTGGGCCTGGCTCTGAGGAGAGGCCAGCAAGGGCGACAAAATGGCGGGAGGTTGTTACAGCCCAGCCAGTAAGCGCGAGGCGGGGAAAGAAGCCTTCTTTAAGGAAGATCAAGGCAGTTTCTGCATCAGACACCCTAGTTCTCATGGGGGACTTCAGCCTGCCTGATATTTGCTAGAAGTGCAAGAAGGCGGGTTGCCTGCAGTCCAGATGATTGAGGGTGTTTGAGATAACTTTTGATACAGGATGGAGCAACAGAGATGCCACATAGCTGGACCTGCTCTTATATTCACTAACCAGTGTTTTAACCAGTGTTAATTACTGACAGCTGTGGCTACAGTGACCATAAAAATAGTGGAGTTCAAGATCCTGAAGGGGTGAGGAAGGAAAGTAAGAGAATACATACTTTAGGAAAACAGATTTCAGCTTATTCAGGAAAGTGGTAAGTGGAACCCCATGGGAGGAGAAACACCAGCAGTGGATCAGGATTGAGTCAAAGCTAATGTGAGAGAACTTAACAAATCCGTGGTACCTGGTGGGATGCATCTGATGGTACTGAAAGTCCTTGCAAGGCTGTTATCCTTGTCAAGCCACTCTCTGTCATCTCTGAAGTGTGTGGCCTTGGAGAATGCCATGGTGCTGGGAGAGAGAGAAATTTCATTTTCATCTTAAATAAAGTCAATCATCTTAAATAGAGTCTCATCTTAAATAAAATAGACAGGGAGCAGTAGATTGGTCAGCCTCACTTCTACCTTGAGCAAGAAGAATCTTGAGCAAGTCCCTTTGGAAGACATTTCTGGCTCGGGGAAGAAGGTGGTGCCGGGAAACAGTGAGCATGAATTTACCATGCCAGATCAACCTGATTGCCTTCTATGACAAAATCGCTAGATTTTTAGACAAGGGAAAACAGTCATTTACCTTGGTATCATTTACCTTGACATCAGCAAGGCTTCTACACTGTCTACCAGAACATCCCTGTACCAAAGACAGAACACAAGTCGGCGTGGGTCTGGAAGACTGTGACAAGTGGAACACCATGAAAGTTTACCTGTCTAAGAGAAAGATGTTACAGATATTATCTCTCAGAATTGGTTTACTTTCATTTGGATTGGATCCACTTTCATTTGGATTGGATTCACTTGCATTTACTTCCTCCTTTATATTTTCACCACACTCACCTATGAAAAGAGATATCTTTCTTGCTTCATTTAAAATAGTTTAATTATTGCACAATTTCCTCATTTTGAATAGCAGGATTAGTCTGATCACAATCGAAATTTGAGGAAGTACAAGATCATACTTCAGCTCAAATCTCAAATTGTAGCCTTCAGTTCTGTAATTCTATCTCTTTATCTAAGTCTAATTTCTGACTTTAACCGTGCAAATACAAACTTTTGCATATCCACCTACCTGGACATGCAAATATAAACTTTTGCATATCCACCTACCTGGACCTCCATATAGACTTAAGATTCATGGAGGTTTTCATTTTTTGAAGTGTGTTTTG